TTAAAGCTAAGCAATATATGACAAAACAAAAATTCAAAAAGTGAACAAAAGTAATAAAGCCATTTTTAAAATACAAAGGGGAAAACAAAGTATTAAGCTAAAAATGCAGCATGGGCCAACTGATAATATAAATTTTAAAAGAGAAATTAGCCCCAAATTTGTCTGTCTGTCCATCCATCCATCCATCCATCATCTATCTCAGGATGTTCAACCTACCTATTGTAATATTCTTACTGTTTTTCCTCAAGAAGCAATCAAACATTGAAAAACAATTTAAGAGCGCTTTTCTTATCTTGATGTGAGCTTTTTTTTGTACTTTGACAAGCCTCCTTATTTGCCTAAGCAGACAATATCTTCAGGGGCTTATAGTGCCAATATTTTTTTTTTCCTTTTAGTAAAACAACATCAGATTGAAGTCACAACAGCTAGTCCAGTGTAATGCACAGCACTGTAGCTCTAGTCATTCCCTTAGATGTCCCCTTGTTCCCTGCCCCACCTCATTTTTTTTAAAAAAATTAAACTGAGTGAGGGAAAGAGAGTGAGAGATTACTTCTTATTTTATAGCATGCCAATTTCCCATTTAATGCTTTTCTTTAAAAAAAAAAAAACCTATTGCTATAAAGAGGCAGCCTTCAGTCTTATCCTTATTTCCAGAAATATCTTGGATCCACATATAGGACTCAGAAGCTTTATTGAAAAGTAAAAATAATAAATGGCACCAGTCCATTGCTCTGCTTACCTAATTCCATAGAGAAAAGAGATAGGTCTCTACTACCAAGGAGTTCCAGTCTAAAACAGAGGAGCAGCTAAAATCAGATGTTTGGTTGCTTTTAATATGATTACTTTTTCAAACTTTAAAAATAATCTAAATAACAAATGAAGGAAACCCAAATGAGACTGGAATACAATACTGCTTAGTGTAAAATATCTTTCTCTATTTTAGTACTATGGGGAAAAAACCACTAAAAGTGCTATTTACCGCTGAAGGAAATTTCTATTTGTTCCAAAGTTTTCCTCCTTGAGTTAAAAGCAGTTTTGAGAAGGCCAAGATTTTCATTCAAATGTGGCATGGCAGTGACAAATTGAAAATAAAATAAAATCCTACATCATGTTTAAAACATCTGTCCCTCAGATGTTAATAATAAAATATCATCAGAAACTGAACTTTATCAATTATTTGTTGTAAGTAAAGGCGGAAAATAGAGGAGAAAGACTTGGGGACAGATTTTGAGCCCCACTATTTTAAGTTAGTATTATCTCTAAGCCTAACTCACAGGGTTGTTCTTGAGAGAAAAATAAGGTGGGAACACTGTATATGCCATCTAGAATTCCTGTTAGGAAAGGTGAATAAATAAATGAACAACATAAATTTGTATACTTATCCTTCAGAAAAACAAGTTTACTACATTAACCCTGGGATCATTTAAAGGAAAATATAAATATGTATAAATAAACACAAGAGGACGAAGGATATGCTGGGAATCCTTTTTTTTCCCTTCAGATTTAAATTCCCAGGTATTCATAAGGCTAAATTCTGTGCTCTTTCCTTACCTACTTCTGCCATAGTTGCTCTCCAGGCTCCAGCTCTTCTATAGTTTGTTACAATGAGAGGCAAGGCAAATTTGATGGAATTGTTAAAGGGTTTGAATAATCAATAGCACCTATTAACTTTGAGTATTTAAGAGGATGGACAAAATTTTTTAATCACCCTGTGTTTTGTTGAAACACTTTGGGAATTCTTTCATCCCTGGTCAGAGTTAAGAGTGGGAACTGAAGTGCAACAAATGGAAGTGGTGGGTTTACAGTAAACGGGCAAGCTCCTCTTTTGGTTCCTTCAACATCTTGAGGTATGGAGGGTGGTAAATTCTGTGCTGCTTTCGCTCTTATCCCAGAATTTGACAAGATTACTGTTCTAAGATTTTTAATATTACCATTTCAGTTAGAGCTCGCTTCCGTCTTGATACTGAGTTGTGTGGACGTTAGGAAAGGAGAAGAACCCGTAACAGATGAGTTGATAGATAGCTTATTTTGCAGACAATAGCTTAGCCCCAATGGGAGAAATCTAGAATAAAGCATTTCAAAGTATTATAAGAAATTTCACCTTAATTACTCATTAAAAATGAGGCTGGGAATTCCTGTCGCAATTTCCAAGATTTGATGCTGACCTCAAACAAACAATCAAGAAACCTTCCAGAAGTTTTAGTCTTGCACAGCTGTATGGGGATGGACATTTCTACAAGCTTTTCTTTACTGCCAAGTTAAAAGGACCAGAACTTGTTCCAGCAGAAAATTACACTGGCACAAAATTTGCTTTTCCATTGCCAGTCTATCATTTGTTTTGCTATTCAGTGGTGACATCTTATTTTTGATTCATGCAGTATATATTAAACAAAGCAAAAGATAAAACCCTCTGAGTGCTGTTTTCTTGTTCTCTATCAATGGGCAGGAAATTGTCTAGAAATCAGTGCAATGAGGCTGGAATGGGGCTTGGTGTGTGTGTGTGTGTGTGTGTGTGTGTGTGTGTGTGTGTGTGTGTGAGAGAGAGAGAGAGAGAGAGAGAGAGAGAGAGAGAGAAGTCTTAACAGGTGACTGTACCACCTCTCTTGTTTTACTGCATGAGTTAAAGTGGATCAAACCTGGAATATGTAATTTAAAGTACTTAAACCAGGAGTGTTAAACTGGCAGCCCATGGGCTGAATGTGTCACATGCAGGCCATGACCACCTTAGCTCCGAGAATGTGAAAAACGTAACAAAACGTCATATGATGGCAACAGGACACCACGAGTTTGACACCCATGACTTAAACTGTCTCTCTCAAAAGCACATCATCGGGATGCTAAAAAACAAACAAACACGAGGTGGCCAAGGTGTGTTCATACTATGATGAAAGGCCTTGCTTAATTCCTTTGGCAAATGTGGTCAGGATTCATCATACTATGTTGAAATAATTCAATGTACATTAGGAAATCTAGGGCAACCATTTTATTGTTATCACCAGGGAATGCTTGTAAAATTACAGAATTCTTCTATGTTATGCCTCTGCATAGTTGGTTTGATTTGCAAAACAATACTGTGATTAATTCCAACCTTTGCTGCATTCATATTAGCATGTCGCCAAATGAAGGCTCTATGTTTGAAGGCTGAAAATGACATTAATTAATAAATGTACATGTCTCTGTAAAACTTCGCCAATTACACAGTACCATCAACTATTACGGTTCTGTGAGAAAATATAGGTGACATTCCAGACCACTGTGATCATATTTAATGCTTAATTGATTCTACTTGGTTCATAGTCAAAATATCTGAAAAATTTGAAATTGTGTCCTAACTGATATATTCCTCATACTCCTTTAAATGTTTACTGTATTCAGATATTAAACCTGAGCTATACTGAAATGCATCCATTTAACAGATGCGGTTAAGGGAGACCTTTGAAACCCAGGCCTTATTTATTTTGCAAGTACATTAAGGATCCATTAGCTGTTTTTGCAGTGTAGGGCTTTTCCCGCTTCCATTAAGGTTTTTTTCCCCTTTGCCTCCAAACACTGGCAACCAAAAGAGAGATCAGATCAATAAAATTATTCCTCTTACATAATTGCAAAAGGTTTTTTTTTTTTTTACTTTATTTTCCTGCTCTTCCTCCTCCTTCTCCACCCTCCCTCCTTCTTCCTTCTCTTGTCATTCTGCTTTGCCTTCTGTTTTGCTTTTTTAATGAATTTATTTATTTCTGGGGCTCATGTCCCTCTTTCAGTATCTTTTTTCAACTCTGATCTTCCTTCTGACCAGGTTCAATTTTGTGCTTCTCTGCTATTCCTCATCTTTCCCTTTGTCTGGCTAAGTGCTCTGGCACTAGCAATCACAGGCCTACTTCAAGGCAGACTGCCAATGATGAGACAGCAGTCACAGAATTTTAATCTCTAGAAATGAGATCTTTTGCTTTCTACCCACTGGACCTCTGAAATCTGCAAAACTAAAGAAACCGTTCACCAGCATAAAAGATAGAGCAAGCTAGTCCTTCCCATCAGTTTTCAGCTTCCCCACATACCTCATGGCTTTACTGACCTTTGGCCACATGCTGTATTTATGATAATATGTTATATTCTTCTTAGGCACATTTCCAAAATAGTATATTAGATCCATTAAAAGAAATAAAACCATCTGCTCGCAGGCTGTTCTTTCCCACATATCAACTTGATCTGTGTGTGTTTTTTTAATGGCTGCTTCAAATACAGAATATAACATCCAATGGATTTTGTCTCCCCACCACCATCCACCACCCACTTTCTGACCTGATTCTGAAAATCTGAGATGAATCCTGCTCAAAATAAATGCACAAAGAAATTGCTGAATGAAACCTTTTCGTAATTGACAATTGTGGTTTAATTAACTAGTCCTCTCCTTTGGGCTTCTACATTAGAACAACTTTCTCAATTTTTATAATTAATAAAATACTGTTTGCAGTGAAAGCATTTTTGAATATCTTCAGATAGTACAATCCTTCACGTTGCTTGCAGTTTTAAAAATATTCAGCTTGTAAACTGCCTCATTGATCAAGGCATAGTCAGGAAGCAACTAGGCTCATATCTACTATTCACTGCTGTTGGAAAATGCTCCCCTTCCCTCCCCCATGCTGCCTTCTAAAAAGGCTCATGGTAGAGTCCTAGTGTTGTTTCACAGCTCCATGTCAAACAGATTAATGTCTTCTTATCCCTGAACCTTCATGCCAACAAAAATGTTTTCTGATCAATTTGACTGGTTCGGTTACCGTTAAAACTACAAAAACTTGCCAGTAAGGTGGGGGAGGGGAATCTAAAACAGCTAACAATCTTATCAACCCATAAGAATTCCCTTCAAAAGTAAATAGTTAAATATTTAAAGTCTTCATTTTGTTACTCTAAAGGTATAATTATTTTTTTGAATATTATGTTAGCTTAATGAAGAAGTGATGGGAATTTTTGCGTTGTTGATTCACTCTTTGTTTTTCTCTTTTCTTCAGTACTTCCTTATGCAAGAGAATAACTAGTAATTAAAATGTGCAGGATGACAAGATGGAGCAGCCAGTGCTTGTACCACCTGGTCCGGACAGCTTTCACTACTTCACTAGAGAGTCTCTTGCAGCTATCGAACAACGCATTGCTGCAGAAAAAGCCAAGCAGTCCAAACAAGACCATAAAGACAATGACGAAAATGGGCCAAAACCAAGTAGTGACTTGGAGGCTGGCAAATCACTGCCATTTATTTATGGTGACATCCCTGCTGGAATGGTCGCTACTCCCTTGGAAGACCTGGATCCATTTTACGTTAATACAAAAGTGAGTGTTTCACATTATCGTTGGTGTTGCCTCTTTCTCTCCTATTGGGTATCTGCTTTGATAGTCACCCTTTCAGGTTTTCTGACGTCAATATACAGTTTGCACAAGGTTCCCTTTGGGAGCTCTGCAACTGGTGATATACGTCTGTATTTTTCGATATGAAGAATTGTTATACTGTATAACTTTTTATTTATTCTGTATAGGAAAATGATCCTAACAAATCACTGAAAATGTATATTTCAAAGATGACTAAGAAAGTTCCCCAGCAAAATTAAAAGAAAGATCACAATGTGTGAGTAATGTTAGAAGATGAGTCTAAAAATTATAACCTGTTTTACAGTAGATCATTTATAAGTGAAGTTGGTCCTTTCTGCAAGATGACTATTGTGCTGTTCTGAGATTGGCACAGAAAGTTGCTAGAGTAACAACCTGGCATTCAGTAGCAGCCTGTAATGAGGCCTTTTTCATCTGTGATTAAATCACAGATGGGAGAGCTAACTGAGAACTGGCTGTGCATCTGGGGCAGATCCCCTCTCTGAAATGTACTTTACCCATAGGACAGTGGTGGTGGATAAGCTGTGGTCATTTGGGGAATTCCAAGAGGTGCTGCTGTACAGATAAATAGATACAAAATCCTGTTGTTACAAAATCTTGGACTGCTGGCAATAGTGGTTAGAGTGATTGGTGCCCACTAACCACTCTAGAGTGGTGGTACAGTGGTTAGAATGCAGTACTGCAGGGCTAACTCACTGCTCCCTTCAGGAGTTTGATTCTGAGCAGATCAAGGTTGATTCAGTCTTTCATCCTTCCAAGATCAGTAAAACAAGGACCCAGATTGTTGGGGGAAATATGCGGACTCTGAAAATAGCTTACAGAGGGCTCTAGAGCACAGTGAAGCGGTATATAAATCTAGGTGCTATTGTGGGATTGTTGTTCTTGTACCAGCTTCCCTGCTGTGTTACAGCTTCTCTGGTTGTGCAGGCTTATAGCCTAGGGAACTTCAACTTGCTTTCCCTGGGGTTGATCTCTGAGGTAGCTTGGGAATTCATGGTCACCATCATAGCCATACAACTGACCTAGCTCATTGAAGGCCTAAAATGTATTGATGATTATTTCCAGATCTGTGTGTGTGTGTGTGTGTGTGTGTGTGTGTGTGTGTGTGATTGTGCGTGTCACAGCAATGGTGGTGTAATATTGGAGGAGATCACCTTCACCCCCCTATCATTGTCAGAGCATTGATTGGTTCATCCTAGGCAACTAATAGACCCAACTGGATTTCAGGGGAGGTTAGGGGGTGGGTTTGAAGTCTGGTGCACAGTCCGACTGAAGCCTTAGTTGCTGCTTGGAATGAGAGGATCTGCTAGGGCTTTGGATCGGAGCTCTCTCCTTTCGAGGATCCCAAAGCCCCCCACCCCTTTGGATTACTGAGAAGCTGAGAAAGATGAAGTATGAGAATAAGGGGTGAACCCAACCAAGCATGAGTTAGAACTACTATTCACTACAGCTACCTTATGATATTAAGGGCAGCAAAACATCAACATTTTCCCACCCTTATTGAATTTGCAGATAGCTGCCCATCATTCCTGTTTAATTGAAGTTTTTCTTCAGACCAATATGAGGATATATTTATTTGTTTGTTTGTTTGTTTGTTTGTTTGTTTGTTTGTTTGTTTGTTTCAATTTCTATACCGCCCTTCTCCAAATAGGACTCAGGGCGGTGAACAGCCAAAGTAAAAAACAGGACATACAAAATTTAAAAACAGTTTAAAATAATTAAATATTTTGGCCGTAAATTAAAACAACCCAATTTAAAATCAATTTAAAATTTAACTCAAGCCAGCCCAGCTAGTTGAAATAAATAGGTTTTCAGGGCCCGACGAAAAATCCGGAGGTCTGTTATTGTACGTATCTCTGGGGGGAGGTTGTTCCAGAGGATGGGCGCCGCCACAGAGAAGGCTCTCCCCCTGGGGGTCGCCAGCCGACATTGTCTGGCGGACGGCACCCTGAGGAGGCCCACTCTGTGCGAGCGTACTGGCCGGTGGGAGGCTATTGGTGGCAGAAGGCAGTCTCGTATGAAGCTTCTGTCAGATAAGGTCAGATTTACTCCAGGTTGGACTTCTGCCTTGAGGCAGATCCTGTAGAGCTAACTGAGGCCCAGTCTTACCAGTTATCTGGGGTGAATTTGAGCCTGTTAGTCCTGATGGTCAAGGTCAGGGTACTTGGAATTGTTACCATGGCCACTTATGCACTGAATCCATGTTTCTCCTGATTAGCTAAAGCTTCCAGGTAGACAATATGCAGAATTCATCCTTGAGAGTGGGTGCAGTCCTGCTGTTATTTAAAGAGGGAACATCTTATCCTCTCATCAAGATGCCATTGCTAGATCCAACCGTTTTAGATAACCTTTGACTTCTCTGGACCCTTTTTCAGTCAGGTTTCAGATCTGGAAATGGGTCTGAAATGGCATCGCTCACTTGGAATGATCTCTTGCAGGAGCGGGATGGGGAGAAGTGCATCCATCCTTACTCTTCTCTCTCAGTAGTGTTTGATATCATTGATCATGGTATCTGTCTAGACTGACTTCAGGGGTTAAGATTGAGAGGCACAGTTATATGCTGGTTCTCCTTTTTCCTTCAGGAGTAGTTCAACTGATATTTACAGAGGATGAGAGATCTATTCTATAGCCTCTTCTGTGTGGGGTAACATAGGATTTGATGTGCTTCTCCCTCCTGTTTAAGCTCTTTGAATCCACAGCATCTACTTTACATCTCTGCCCCAGGTCAACCAAATGATACGGTGTAGGTTCTCTCTCAGTGTCTGGAGGATGTGTAGGATCTGTGTCAGTGTCTGGAGCTGTGGTGGTGCAGTGGTTAAAATGCAGTACAGGTAGTCCTCGGCTTACAACAGTTCATTCAAAGTTACAACGACATTGAAAAAAAGTAACCGATGACCATTTTTTCACACTTACGACCATTGCAGCATCCCCTTGGTCATGTGATCAAAATTCAGGCCCTGGGCAATTGGCTCATACTTATGATGGTTTCAGTGTCCCAGAGTCATGTGATCATCTTTTGCAAACTTCTGACAAGTCAAGTCAATGAAGAAGCTGGATTCACTTACTGTAACAACCATACTAACTTTAACAACTGCAGTGATACACTTAACAACTGTTTACTCTGACACACTCTAATACTGGAGGTTAGATTGGCTTCAACTCTTCTGGTCTTTCACAAAGTGCTGGATATCTGTATGTGCTCCAGAGCAGAGGGGTTGAAAGGTTAGATGGCCTGTGAGATGTGTTTGTTGATGGTTGATTGACTTTGTTTTTACTTATCATTGTAGGTTTGCTATTTTTTCTTATTGTTTTTAATATGTTATTAGCTGCCCAGAGTTGCACTTTCAAGATTGAAAGTCATGTAAATTGATTAAGTAAATAAAGTCATCTTAGTTGTTCACACTTTCAAGTGGCTTTTGAGAAGCTAAACCAATTGCATATTCCTTCATAGCCTATTAAAGAGAAAGCTGCAGAAACAGTTTTATAACACTTTACTTAAAGCCACTGATGGGATTGCCTACCTCCAGGGATTTCTTATCCTAACCAAACCCTCCTGCCACACTTTGAAGCCATCCCGGTTCACCCTCCCAGGTCTTCATAACGACAGTGAGAATCAGCATTGCCACTTCCTCCATATAGTGGCTGATCAGGGAGGTTCCTTTATTTCCTCAATGTTGTGGCCCGTCAGCGGCCTGTGCAGACTGTAGCTGATTCCGACAACAAGGAGACTGGTGTGGTGCTGTGCCAGCAGCCTGTGCAGCTGGCGCTCGAGTTGGACAGTGAGGAGGCTGGAGAAGATGTGGTGCCAGAGGCAGGGATTCAGCCAGGGCCTTCAGAACCTCCAGAAGCTCCTTTAAGTGAACAGGACGAAGAGGAGGAGCCTCTTCTCAATGTATGGGTGCGCAGAGCTGCCAAAAGGCAGGAGTGGCTCCTCAGGAGGAGGTCTCCTCGAGAGTAAGGCTTGGGGCTAATTGGCCACTCCCTTAGCCTATTTAAGAAGGAACGCCGCTTGCAACAAGCTGTAGAGAACAACTTTAGTTCACTCTCCTTCACGTCTGCAAAATTGCTTCTGGGCTTTGTGCCAACTCTAGTAAGACTATGATTACCTTATCTTAGAATTCTGGTAGGCTGTTAAGACAGTTCATTAACAGCCTTTGAATGATAAAGACTAAGTTATTTGAGTAAAATACGCTTTGTATAGAGTTTGTGTGTGCTGCGTTCTTTGGGGTCCGTAGCTAGGGCAGAACACTCAATGCCACATAATAATACCTTACAAAGGAAGAAAAAGGAAGTAGGAACTGATTGGTTGATTGTTTTTGGGCTTCCAATCAAAAGGAGAGCCCATTGGCTCATGGAGAAGAAAAAGAGGATATTTGATTAAGTAAGTAAATACTTGCTGAGCAACACAAAAATGGTTGTGGAGATAGTCAAGGGTCACCAGGAAAGGGATATACTTTGACTGGAAGCTCATCTGATCTAGAATTTTCTAATATTAACTCTACCCATTGTGGCATTTATATAAGTGGTAATTATTTGGAGCTGAGTTTGGATTAAAAGTGAACTATTGAGCTGGGTTTATTTGTAACTGCTTTATTTTAGATGCAATTTGCAGCAGTGTCATATACAGCACATTGCATCATATCTTAACTTTCCCATTTTCTTAAAGTGCATGTGAGTTGATGCCATCTCTTGATATGACTTTCACTTAACCCACCTGCCCCCATTTAATTCTATATATTGCTCCTAATGCAGATCATATCATACTTTCAAAATGTCCAATTTTTTATGATTCTTCTGGCCACTTAGCTAAATTATTTCCTGATAATAGTTATTCTCTATAAAGAACATGCCTTTCATATGCTTTGGTTCTCACTTTTGGAAGTTCTCCTTAAGCTTATTGTTTAGACACAAATGTTTAGCACCAGGGATCCATGGCTTAGTTTACAGAAAACAGACTACCACTGTTCTCTCTCACATTCTGGCGAGAGAGAAATTCCCTGAGAGTGGACTCCAGCTCAGAAGACTAAACCTCTGGTCCTGGTGACTGATCCAGATTGGCTGTATCCGATGGATTTTTGATACTGCAGTATTTTAATGTCATTCCTCATAAGATAACATCTGTTTACTACCATAGAGGCTGCTGCTTTTTCACATTTTGAGTTATGCAGCCAGGCAAATCTTTAAAAAATAAAATCTTCACATTAAATCAATTCCTAAAATGGTGCAGC